GGATTTAGGTTTTAGGGTTTTAGGATCTGGGCTTGGAGTTCCGGCTGTCGGGCCGTCGGGTTGCTAAACATGGGTTCTGCAGGGTTTGGGTCTGGGGTTTCAGGAGCCCGGACGGAGGATTAGGGTTGCAGGCCAGTGTTTGAGGTTCGGCCCTCCATGGCTGCAAACTCCTTCCTCTCGATTAACGCGAAGCTTCTCAAGACACTAAACCCCAAACCCTAAACCTTTTTTACCTCACAACCTAAGCCCTGCAACCTGAACTCTGAACCGCAGTTCTATCCTGTCAGGCTTTGGCAGGGCGCCCAACATCTCCCGATCGTGGGAATCTGCTGACCAGCTGCATGCAAATTTCCGCGACTTTTGCAACTTGCCGTGTTCAGCCTTAGGGCTTGCTTGTTTAGGATTTAGGGTTTAGGGCTGGTCGGTGGTACTTGAAGGCCTGATGTTGAATTCGTTTGCAGGCTGGCGAAGCCGCGTGTGCTCCTCATTCGTAGTTTGAGGCTGAGCGTAGATGCAAACGGTGGTAGCGGCATTCCTCATGGTATAGTAGGCAAATATTCTCTAGTCAGTGATTGTGCTTGAGGTAAATATGGGAGAGTGGAGAGCGTGTCCGAGCTCGTCAATGGCTCAGCAAGGGATTTCTGGTGCCTTTTCGGCTCACAAAAGTACAACGAGACGGGCCTCGTGCTGGCATCCAAATACGGACACCATGAGGTCGTGAGGGTCTTGGTAGCAGCAGGTTCAGAGATTGACTATCCGGCGAATGGTGGGGCAGCTCTTCACTGGGCCTGCAAGTCCTTCTCGCAGAAGAATTACGCGGCAATGGAGCCGCAGCAGGTGGCCACCGTGCAGTTCCTGCTTGGCGAGGGTGCCCAGATGAGGCTCCCCAGCCCGAAATCGGATGAGATCTATGACGCTTTGAACATGGCAACCCAGCGCGGCAGCGTTCCGATGGTCATGCTGCTGAAGGCAGCAGGAGCTGAGGCAGCGAGTTGCAACAAGACGGGTCCGCGAATTTGCCTTGAGCACCCAATGGCCCAAGCTCTAAACCCCAAAGTCTTAGTTTCCTTCTCAGGTTTCCGCAAGTACGGAGGCTGCAGCGAAGAAGTGGGGCGGCGCAGTTTCCCGAGCGCTTCTCTCCGAGGAGAAGGTTGCTGTACCCTATGTGGCACCGTCATACTGGACGCATCAGGCAGAGGACTTGGTTTATCGGGGGTGGGGTGGTGCTTCATTGTATCATGTTACCAGAACACGTCGCAAAGTGCGAAGCTCTTCATGCCTCACCACGAGGGAACTTAAGGACTTTGGTAAGACAACTCCCAAGTCCTTCGTGCCTGCCGCCGCTGCCACTCCTCCTCGCCTCCTCCTCGTACTACTCCTGCAACAACAACAACA